CGAGTGTGGATTCGTGGCGGGGGCTTGCCTGCTGCGGGCCGGCCGTGGGGGCGGGGGGCGGGTCACGCAGGCCCAGCAGGGGGGGGCTGTGGCGTTTGCGGCCCATCTGAGGAAGAGCCGGCGAGGCCGCTGGGGGTGAGCGGTGCGGCCACCTGCTGGTCCCTCGTGTCACTTCAGGCGGCCGGGGCCGATGCATCAAGCAGGGGGAGAACTGGTACAGCCCGACTGAGTTCGAAGCCATGGCCGGAAGAGCCAGCAGTAAGGACTGGAAGAGGAGCATCCGCTACGCGGGCAGGCCGCTTCAGTGCCTCATTCAGGTGTGTGCGCGCCGTCCCCCCGCAGCTACGGCGGGGGGTCCCCACGGCGGCCCCGGGGCGTGGCCGGCATGTGCGGTCAGACAGAGGCCGCCTGGCCGTGTGGTCCCGGGCAGGTGACCTCGCCTAGTGTCCTGGTGTTTCACGCATTCGGTGCCTACGGTGCTTGCCAGGAGTGCCTGAGGCCACACCGTAGCTTCCCCTGGAGGCGCGTGACCTTTCCCAGACGCTGACCACCCCCCCCCCACCCCGTTTACCTGTCGTGAGAGGGGCGGGCTTCTCACTGCTGTTTGCAGGTAGCGCTTTGCGTGTTGGTCAAGAAATAACGCTCGTAGAGTCTTCACCTCCCAGAAGGGACTCGGTGGACCCTGCCGCCGATAACCGCCTTGTACAACAGGGAAGTGCGAGGAAGAGGCGTTTCTGGAAGCGACAGGGTTTTGTGTTTATGAGCGACAGACACGCCGTAGAGCTGCCGAAAGGCGACTTTCTCACGTACCGTGTCTTCTCTGAATTTCAGGACGGGATCTTAAATCCTCACGCTGCCTCATGCACCTGTGCCGCCTGCTGTGACGACATGACCCTGGTGAGCGGCCGGGGGGGTCACCTGGTGGGGCCGGGGTGCGCGTGGGCGGGCAGGGCCGCTGCGATGACCCCACGCCCTGCCCCGCACACGGCTCTGGCGCCCCTGCAGCCGATCCAGGGGCTGTCACGTTTCTCTCTCAAACTCTGCGTCTCTGGCGTCGCTCTGATGCTGCAGGTGGTGCAGGCGGGGAACTTGCTCCAGTATCACCATCTTAACCCCAAAACTGAGCACACAGTGTTCTTTACGGTCGTGGGGAGTGCGTGTGTGCTGTCTTATATCCTGTGTTTTTTAACGTTATGTCCTAAAAGTACTACGTTGAAATTATGAGGGGCTTTTAAGGTCTTTTGAAACATTTCTATGTTCTCAACTAACAGTTTCAAAAAGAATGGACGTTTTCATTGATTTTAACCTTTGTGGCCGTGTAACTTTCAAAAACGTGAGAGTAACGTGTAGTGTCTGAATGTCTTAGTTTGGTTTCAGCCTTCCTTACTGTTAAGTTCTATTTTGAGATGTTTTCAAGTGAACTAGAAAGCTGTGTAACGAGATATCCTGGTTTTATTTTGATGAGCTATCTGGTTAATTTTTAGAAGATTTGAAAGGAGATGTAATTGGAGAGACCTATCACAGTCTTGGGTGGAAAATGAAATATCCTAAAATCGTCCAGTTCGTGTATGGATTAAATATTCTCGTGGAGTGAACAATGGGATATTTTTGTGAAAATGAAGTAGCTTTAAAGTTCACTTGGAGAAACTACCAGGGAGAGCACTCCGAGATCTCGTAGGGGGAAGAGAGTAGGAGGGAATCGTCCCGTTAGGGAGTTTAGAAAACTTGTGAGCACTCTTTGCAGTTGCCGCAGAATGTGGAGACGGGTGTAAACAGGACACATGCGGGATGCGTGTGCGACACACCTAGACCCGGCTGTGGAAAGAAACGCGGGAAGCCCCGAGCGGAGGCGGCGTGGCCGGGGTTGGAGGCCCAGGGAGGGCTCGGGCGCTGTCCTCACGGTCTGCAGGCTCCACATGGCTCCTCGGAATCCCTGCGGGGCTCTGTGGAGCTTTAAACAAGCTGGTTTTATAGTTGGTAAGAAAGGCAAAGAAGCAGGACAGCCAGAGCAATTTGGAGGAAAAGACTGAAGTCGGAGGGGTCCCGGCCCTTGAGGACCTTTCCCACTGCTGTTGTGATGGAGACGTACGCGTCGGCAGGGCGAGGGGTCGGCGGGGCCGCAAAGGGTGTCGGCTGCATGGCGGTGGGGACAGCTGCACTCGGCGTAGAAATGCTTCTCGGCCCCAACCTGGCATTTCATGTGCAGATGAATTCAAAATGGATCACAGATCCAAATTTATCCAAAACACGAAACCCACATTTTGGGAAGAAAACACAGGGGAGAACTTCGTGGCCTAGGGCTCCCTCCGCCTACTGGGACATCTCCAGCCCTGGTTCTGAGTCGCAGAAACTAAATTCTGGGCAGGTGTGGCCAAGAGACTGGGGGCTCCTTCCCTCACCAGCCTCCTCTCTGAGGCCAGAGGCCACCCCCAGGAGTGGCGGGGCAGGAAGACCGTGCCACCAGCGTCCTCTCCCCAGCTCTAGAGCCTCGCCACGTGGACTCGAGCCCTGGAGAGGTGGCTGGTCGGCAGTGAGAGCAACCCGCTAAACCGAGAAGCAGGGAAGGTGGCAGCTAAGAAGAATCCGTCTGGGATAAGAACAGACCTGAAAGATTTGCCTCAAAAACTCCCCATGAAGGAGCCCTAATGCAGTTGGATCTGCCCCCAGGCCTCGGAGCCGTGAGCAGTCTGCTGGGGGACAGCGCAGCCCCTGCTGGGTGTGACACCCTCCCTGCTGCCTGGGGACAGCCAGGTTGCTGACCTGATCAGCAGCAGGAACCCTGGAGAGAAGGAGTCCGTCTCAGTGTTGCTACAGGACATCACTAAAGCGTCCATCTTTCGACAAAACGTTGTAAGACTTGCAAAGAAACGGGACACGAGAGCCACACAGAAGAAAATGGCCAGCAGGCACGACCCAGGGCTTCCGAGGACCCCCTTTATGCTCACAGAGCGGAGGGCGCCATGTGCTCGGGTGGCCTCGGGGGACCGCAGCCGGGGCAGGGCTGCGACCCCAGAGACTGGCCTCCCCTCCTGCCTGAGGCTGGCAGGTGGCAGGTGCAGGGCTGGCTTCTGCCGTTGCTACTCCTCTCGTCTGTTCCCAAAGCCTCTTCAGTCCTGCTGGAATGTTCTGTCCCATGGGGCAGAGGCTCTCCTTTACCGGGTCCTTCTCTGTTTTCTGTCTTCTAGCAGTCCCTGGGAATCCTGTGTGTTGACGAACGTTACCTTGTTTTTAAACGCTGCTTTTCGTGTATTCTTTTAGAAAGAATCTTTTCTGTCCCTCAGGGACCTTGGGGCCTGCAGAGAGGTCGGGCCTCTGCAGCTTCCCGGCCGCGGTCCTGCTGTGCCCCCTCCCCTCCCCCGTGTGGGCAGAGACGGGCGCGGGGACAGCGCTGGCCCCGTCTCACTGCGCCTCGGCCCCGTCTCACTGCGCCTCTCCCCGCAGAGCGGCCCGGTCAGGCTCTTCGTCCCCTACAAAAGGCGCAAGAAGGAGAATGAGCCGCCTGCGACCCCCGTGAAGAAGGAGCCCCCCAAGAACATCACGCTGCTTCCCGCCACCGCCGCCACCGCCTGTGAGTTTGAATGAGGCGGAGGCGCGGCCCCTCCAACCCCTGGGGCTCCCTTGTTCTGTGGGGGCCGCCCTGGGGGGGTTTCCTCATCTCCGTGGACTCCCTGTCGTGCCCCCGGCAGATGTTTCCTAATGGAACGAACCAGGAGCCATGCCTTCTGGGAGGGGGCATCCGCAGGAACACCTTTGCTCAGCCCCCGTGTCCAGATGCCTCACATGGTTGTCTCGGGGTGGGGACCAGGTGGACGGAGGGAAACCCTGGCTGTGTGTGAACCAGAGTGGGGCGAGGCAGGGACGAGACAGGTGTCTGCAGCCAGCGCCTTTGCCCGAGGCTGTGAACAAGCATCTACAGAGAGCGGTCCCCCCACCCCTCGCCCCCGCCCCTGCCCTCCCACCCCGGCGCTCTCTCTTTGTGGTTCCTGCGGCCAAGGGGATGGGGCAGCAGAAGGGCTGTGGGGGCAAGTCTGCTCTCGTCTTCAACCTCTGTGAATCTTCTTTTATTTTAATTTTTTTTTTAACATTTATTTTTGAGAGACACAGAGTGCAAGTGGGGGAGGGATAGAGAGGGAGACACAGAATCCGAAGCAGGCTCCAGGCTCTGAGCTGTCAGCACACAGCCTGACGTGGGGTCACACTCGTGAACCGTGAGATCACGACCTGAGCCGAAGTCAGACGCTCAACTGACTGAGCCACCCGGGTACCCCAACCTCTGGGAACGTCTTTCTTAATTCCAGCCACAAAGGAGTCTCTCAGTTACTTCCAGCTTTATGTTTTGTTTTCCAACAAGGCAGCT